CTGGGAATAGTGACTGCATAGCAAAGTGTTGAGCAACAAAATGGAAAAGACTGTATTTGATGTTTCCTGGGTTTAAGACAAATAGCTAAGTAAACTCGAGCATCCTCTGTGAAACTGCTGCTGGCAGACTGATTGCTTTCCTACTTCATCATTAGTGAGTATCTCTGCCAGTTAGTTAAATAACTAGGTCAGCCTGGGAAAAAACATGTTCCTTGATCTTCTGTGCTGTCCCTCCTGTTTTCCCATGTGTTTCTCTTTATAGCCCATTTCTCAGCTACCCGAGGTGGGAGCGTTATCAAGTGCAGAGCTGTGGAGGAGAAGCAGGTACCTCTGTGAGAGTGGCAAGGGGAGGTGGGAGCGCAGGACTTTCTCTCCAGGTGCCTCAGAGGCGAAGGCAGAGGTATCCTCATCACTGTTTTAGGGTTTTCCCATCACTCTTGACTGGGGAGGGGATGCACTTTGCAAAGCTGCAGCACCATCCCCTCTGTGGAGAGGGGCTGGAGAGGGCAAGGAGCACCACTGTGGGTACCCAGTGGCTCTGCAGCCTGCTTTGTTCCCTGCCCAGCACTTCAAGGAGGCAAGGATGAGTTTAGATGCAAATCCAGCCCACAGGGCTGTGCCCTTACTTAGCAGGGTATTTATTTATTGTGCAATACTTTCCTGATGACAGATTAAATCTTCATCACTGTGTCCATCGAGCTGCCCATAACAGAGACCTTGTGATGGCCAGGACTTGGAGAAAGTTTGTGTTCCTGTTGCATGAATTCATATTGCAATTGCCTGACCTGATTAGGTTAATTATTTCCAACCCGTATATGCTCTCAATTTGAATGAGCAATTCAGGCTCTAACCCTGAATTATTCTTGGCTGAAACTCTGATGTAGTGATGAAAGAGGCAGTTGTGTGCAACACACACTGCACCTGTCTATAGTCTGCTGCTGACAATATCTCCAGAGCTTCACAGTTAATATTACAGACAGATAAAGAACTACTGAGTAAAAACTGCCACATATTGTTTCATTCTTTTCTGAAAAAGTTCTTCTCGTATTATGCCATATCATGTCATAAGCATTTAGTCTTCTGTCTACTAGTTCTAAGCCAGACTTGAGTCAAAATCTTTATATATGTGAATGGATGGGCTACTTAGCTTATGTTCTCCCTGACTTAACTATTCTTTTTCAGGATTTCTTTTTATTCCCTCATCCTACTAAACTCAAGAGCTTTTCCTCCTCCTTTTTCCTAACAGCAGCAAAAATCTGTATTTTAGTATTAATATCTGGTGCTGATTGTCCCATCATTTGTCAATGTCATACATCCTCAGTGTGAAGATCTTAGCATTTTGATATGATAGTTGAGTGAGGGAGGAAAGAGAAGGCATTTAGCTACCTGTTTCTTTCCTTACATTTTTATTGTTGTGTCCTTTAATAAGATTTTAGGGTTTTATGAATATAGCTGCCTTTTAAAAATCTAAATGTCCTATAATAAAACATTTCTCGGGGGAAAATTATTCAGTAATAATATTTGCAGGCTTCCCTCTGAAAATGAACATCATACCAAAAATGTTAGGCTCATCCCTTATCTGTTAGATTGTCAAAGAAACCGAGGGAGCTGGACGTCTGTGCTGAGGGAATCCCCGCAGCCGCTCTCCCCCATATGAGGCATGAGTGTATTTTGGCCAAAGTGCTGTACTGCATCTGAAAAATGCCTGGACATAGAATCATCTAGGTTTGAAGGGACCTTCAAGATCATCTAGTCCAACCATCCACCTAACTGACAAAAAAAACCCATCACTAAACCATGTCCCCCAGCATCATGTCAACCCGTCTTTTGAACACCTCCAGGGATGGTGCCTCAACCACTTCCCTGGGCAGCTCATTCCAATGTCTGATAACCCTTTCAGTGTAAAAATTTTTCCTAATATCCAACCTGAATCTCCTCTGGCACAACTTGAGGCCGTTTCCTCTAGTCCTGTCGCCTGTGACTTGAGAGAAGAGACCGACCCCCTGCCTCTCTACACCCTCCTTTCAGGTAGACATGAGATGACAAACAATGTCTCCCCACAGACCGACCAGTTCTAATAGCTTTTCTTAAATGAGAATTTACCTGGTCTGGCTCAGCAATGGGATTCATAAATATTTTAATCATTTGTGACCCCGAAGCTAAATCCTGGGCTGAGCTGGGTTATCTCCCATGTGTGCAGTAGGGGAGATGGGCTATCCTCCTGGAATAAATGCAGGACTTCAGGTTTTGGGATGCTCAGCAGTATGTTAGCATGGGTAAACCAGCAGCTGGTGAGCAGGAGCCAGTTTGGCCATTAACTAACTTGTATTTGTGTCAAGCAGACTGCTTATAGCTATCAGTCCCTTCAGCTGGTTAAACCCTGCTTTAACCTGCGCTGGGTTGTGTCTTCCCTTTGCAGAAGAGGACGAGAAGGTCCTTCCCCAGTGGGGCTGAGCCCTCTTTCCTGGGCAGGAGGGGTACAGGCAGTGTGGGGGCACCACAGGCTGTGGCTGATGTTGAGAAACCAACTGCCACGAGCACGTTGATTTGCTGCTTCTGCTCACTTTCCCTGTGGTAAGTAATTGATTTCAAAGGGATGGAGCAAGAGGAAAATCATATGAGGCTGTGACAGCCAGTCCTGCTTTGGGCTAAGATGAATTGGAGGCTTTTCAGTCTTGGCTGTTTGGAAAAAAAATAGACACATCATGTAAGATCAAAATGACCGTGTTCTGGTCACGAAGAAATCAAGCTATTGCCTCCCTGGGTGCAAGTTAGCAGTGCTTCTCCTGCAGCTGCTGAAGAAATGAAGTCTGGGTGGCTCATGGTGTGAAAGCATCTCCTGTTTGCAGTCTTCCCCTGTGCCTCTGGCCCTCGGCGGTGCCTGCTCACCGTGGACATGCCCACGCCTGCCCCTGCCCAATGTTGTAGAGTCATTGCTAAGGGAGCCAGGGCTCCATCACACACAAAGGTTTCGCAACCTAAGTCTTCTTGAATTGCACAAAGTACTTTAAAGAGGATGGGAAAACCCTGGGAAAATACCCGAAGTGAAGTGGAGACTGCAGCTTTTTGCAGCAGCAATTATTCTAAGCGAACTGCCTGTAAGGATTTTGCAGTTTGAAGTGTCGGGTGGCATATTTTGCGCAGACAATATTGTTAATGTGTCAAATGTGCTAAAAGTTGACCGACAAAAGCACCTGGGTATTTCAAACATAAATAGACTGTATCAAAATAGATACGGAGCAGATGGCCTGGCTCCCCGCACACCTTGCTGACCAGAATACACCAGCAACACACGCAGCCAAAATCTTGCTGTCTTCAAAGCTGATCATCTGCAAAGGTGAGGGTTATCCTCGTGCTGCCCTTTATCTGTTAGGCACTAACGCTCCTGCGTACGCTAATTAGTACATCCTAGAGGGATAATGTACCCCAGGCTTGCTTGAACTCGTTACTACCCCAGCAAAGCAAATCACCTGTTCCGGAGCTCAGTCTCTCCAAAGTGGGTTAGATTAGAAAACCTGCGAGCTGAAATCTGATCAGTGGTGGAAAGAGCCCAAAACGCAGAGGGCTGGCTTTGCCAGCTACCTCACAGCACTGCCTGTAGCTGATAAACATGCAAGAGAGTCTGTTTCTCACTCTCGTTTTTACCTTGGCTGCTAAGACCAAACACTACCATTCTGCGGATTAACCGGGATGTAAGGCTTTTCATGCCTTGTTGTATGGTTCAACAGATGTGAAAGGGAATTATCACTTCAACATGATATCAAGACTTTTTTTTTTTTTTAGCTGATGGCAGATTACTAAGCCTGAATTCTTGTTTAATTTTAGTGTGTTAATTGATGGGATAATGAGCATTGATTATATGTGTTTTGGCTGCGTCATTGCAATTACAGGCTCTGTTTTATTCATGAGCCAGTCCTAAAGAATGCACTAGAGATCTAAGACAGCTTAAACCTCTCAGAAAAAGGCTCTGAATTGTTTGAGTAATGACACTCTTAGATGGAAAATTAAAGGTTCTCTTTTCCCATGCTTTTTAAGATAATTAAAATCCAGGAACAGTAAGGTGGTGAACATCCTTATTCATTAGCCTTCAGTAATTTAGCTTCTACTAAATGAGGAAAACATTTTAATTCTCTAGGCCATCTGTTGCAGTCTCCTTTGCGTGTCCTGTTACATAAAGTCTCATCCTGGGCAGTTTTAACATCAGCATTGCATGCTTTCACCAGGAAGGATGAGCTGGATGAGGTAGCTGAAGTCACCACCTATTAACAGACCACCCTGGGATTAAAACAGCCGCTTGGTCTTTTAGGTCGAAGCTATCCTGTCTAGACACCTCCGGGCAAAGGATCCACAGAAAGGAGACCGTGCACAGAGATAGGCAGCGTGACAAGCTGTGGGTTTTCTAATAGTAATTTCCATGCCAATAAATAACAAAGTTCATCGGAGCCCTTCCAGTCTCTCTAACGTGCGACTGCTCTGCCATATGGCTCCGAGCTGCTTTTGGAAGCCGGCAGCATCCATTCCGGTAGGTACCGAAGCAGAGACTCCGTGATGGATGCTGCTTTGTGAGCAGTTCAGAAGAAGAACAGATCTCTTCTTTGCACTGCACCAGGGGAATAAATATTAAAGCAGGAGCATGCTCAGCTGGGTCGGGAACTGGGAAAGGCTTGGTTTCTGACTCCTTCCATAGAAACAACTCACTTTATAGCTTGGGGCAAGTTAGATTAGCCCACATTAGAAAGGTTTCCTATTAAAATGATAATGTGTATGGGTGAATGGGTTCAGTGTCATTTATTCCTGATGCAAAGTTACATCCTTACAAATTCAGGCTCCATTAGTTTGGTTTGTTTCTGTCAAATTCTCACATAAAACAAAAGCCACCCTACTCACCACCCCAGCATTGCTGCCTTACAGGGGCTGCTCCAGCCTGATGTCTTTATCCAGCTCTGTGATCACCAGGTAGCACTTGCATTATTGATAGGGCAGAGCTGAGAGCAGGCAGAGCCTGAATTCACCTGTTTGCTATTGCTCGAGTTGCTTAGAGATCACAAACAGCCTGGCCCCGAGATGTGTGGCTGCAGAGCGAGCGTTCCCAGCACCAAGCAGTACTCGGTCAATCAGCTGCCTCCTGCTCCCACCAAAACCAGCCCTTCGGCCACGGCAGCAATGCCCAAGCAGTAAGTCATCGTTTCTCTTCTTTGCTTTTTCTGGTGATTTGCCATTTGTCTTGAAATTCATTATCTGGATGTGTTTGTCTCTATCAGCAAGCAATCTCTTCTCTGTAATTAGTTTCCAGCGCTTTAGCAAAAGTAAGCAGGCTTTAAGTTTTAACAGAAAGCAGGGAGGTGCTTCTCATGGGTGTGAGTCCTGCTGGAAATAAAAGCTACGTGTCTGCTCCAAACTGGAAGCACTGGTGTCTGGAGGATGACAGACCCCTCTGTATTTCCCTGGGGATGGGCTCAAGAAATTACTTGAAGGACGTGGCAATGTCCCTCTCTTAAAATTATTTAACAAGCACCTTTGATAACAAGTCCAGGCTACTTGCTTTGGTGAGGAACTGGGAGCTGTGGTATGTTGTGGGCTGCTTGTAAAGGCCATTTTCCTTTCCGCTGTGAAGGAAAGCAAGTCTCCCTTGGGAAGCCCTGAGTTCCTGGGGGATTAAATGAGACAGAAATGAGCAAGCCCACTCATGGAGAAACTGTATGTACACACACGATTTGCCAGGTGATAACTGTGCCTCTCTTCTCTCTCACTACCAGCATACCAATAGCCAAGCAGCTGGCATCAATCAAAGGTAAGGGGACCCATTCGTTGCCCCTTGGGGTTCAGAGCTTCCAAAGCCACAGACTGAGTGCAGCAGATCCTGGTGACAGCAGAGCTGCTGAGACCGTGCAGACCCTCAGGCAGTGCAAGAACAGGGGGTGTGGTGGGTTCCTGCATGACATGCACTGACATTGATCTGTGTCTCCTCTTCTGCTCACCTTTCCCTTAAAAATCACAGCCCCAGTCATCTGTGGTATCTGATGGTAAATGAGGGCTATGAGTGTGCAACCTTTAAAATCATGGAATGGTTCAGGTTGGAAGGGACCTTAAAGATCATTCAGTCCCAACCCCCTGCCATGGGCAGGGACACCTCCCACTAGCCCAGGTTGCTCAAAGCCCCATCCAGCCTGGCCTTGAACCCCTCCAGGGATGGGGCAGCCACAGCTTCTCTGGGCAGCCTGTTCCAGTGTCTCACCACCCTCACAGGAAAGAATTTATTCCTAATATCTTGTTTAAATCTCCTCTCTTTCAGTTTAAAACTATTACCCCTTATCCTATCACTACACTCCCTGATAAAGAGTCCCTCCCCCAAATGCAGCTCAGAAGTAGGGGGCATGAATCCAGCCAAATATTCCAACCAAAATCCCAAGTATACTTGGGTAATGCTGAAGTGCAGCCCTGATGCTCAGACATGGACATTTCTGTTCAGTCAGGCTTCCCAGATAGACAACGTTTTCCCTGATACAGGATCCTGGGAGTCTAAATGCATCCAAAAGCTGGCCAGTGTGGCCTGTCCCCATGGTGTGGCAGGTCCTTGTTGGCTGCCCAGGGTGGGGACAGACCAGATGGGTTTCATTCATTATCACTCAAGTAACACCCTTGTGTTACCGCTGCTGTGTGCCCCAGCTCCAACTGAAAGCTCCTTTTTTGGGGTGTGTTTCCATGGGACATGAGGCATGTTGCTGGCCCACTCCAAATAAAATCTGTGCCAGGTCCTCTGTGGGTATAAACAGTTTCAGTCTCATTAACTTTAATGAAACTACACAGATTTCCACCCACTCAGGATGGTTCTGACAGATTCCTTTCAATTATATCTGAAATGCCACTTTTTCTGATAGGCTGATAACATTTTTTTATTTTTTTTCCCTTTTCCTCCCTCCCTAGCTCTAGGAAAAGGCTCAGACCTTGAAAAAGCTTTTGCTACCGCGGCTTTGGTGTATAACAACTCTGCCGACCCCGAGGGCAAGCTCAGCAAAGCTGAAACCAAAAGCCTGCTGCAGACCCAGTTTGGGGGTTTCATACGGGTGAGGGGGCTCGGGCGAGCGGGTGGTACTGGGTGCTTTGGGTGCAGGAATGGCACCTCGTCTCTGTCCTGCAGCTGGGCGAGCATCAGCCCACGGGGTAATCCCGGGTGGCTGCAGTGATTTGGTGCAAACATCTTCAGAGGATTGAGCTGCTTGAAGTTGAGCCTGTGTCTAACACGGGGCTAAAGGAGGGGGGGGCAGCAATAAACTGCTGTTGACATGCCTGCTTGCATTTTTGTTAATGAAGTAGGGCAATTACAAAAAAAAATAAACAAACCCAAGCTCTCAGAGCCCTGACCCAGTACCAGGAAAGCCAGCCCCGTGCCACAAAGCTGCATGCACTGTGGTAACTGGTGGGGCCACTGGGAGAAAGGGAGGGGAAAGCACCTCTCCATTGTCACCCACAATGTTGGTGAAAACCAGCTATATTGGCGCTTGTGGCTGTAAACTTCTTGCAGATATTTTTTTTCCCTTGTTAAATAATTTTTTTAAAAAAAAGGTTTTATTAAGTGGTAGAAAAAACTATGTAGGACTACTAAAAAGAGCTCAACTAAGTAAATAAAATGAATTTTTAGGAGTAAATACATTCTTAATAATGCCTTTGCTTGCAAGAATAATAAAAAAAAATCACATGACTGGTTGGGGAGGGGGAATTAGTACCAAATTAGAAACGAGGTACCTTATGGAAAAGAACTTGAAAATACAAGTGGCCAATCAAATTTGGAATCATGAGATGTTTTAAAGACTATAAAGCTAAAAAAATATCCTGTAACTTTTTTTTAGATAAGGAAATATGAATAACAAGCATGATATTTAATTTTAATAATCCCTTCCATTCCAAGAGTAGTGCCCAGCAAGACAGAGAACAGCAACTGTTGAAGCTATATCTGTAAAATCAACAGTTTCTGAGACCTTTAGAGTATATATTTGAGGACCTGTCTTGAGGTCAGGAGGATGGGTTCGTTGTTTCCTCATTTCCTCTCCCTGGTTTTATCAAGACATGGGGCTCCATTTTTTTCCATCAGTTACCAGCTACATCATCATCACTGCCGGATTTTCAATCATGACTAGATGTCTTAAAAGATGTATTCTGGATTCAAGTGGAAACTTTGGGGACTGGTTATTCTCCTGTCTGATTGCAATAATATTTCTGTTTGAGTTTCTTGGGATACCTTTAGAAAAACTCATATGAATGTGGACATAAAAAGCTGACTGGGAAGATAGAAAAATACATTCATTTTTACAGAGGTGTCCATCTTTTTTTTTTTTTATAATGCAATAAAAAAGGAACTTCATGCTTAATCTTCTTTTTTTTCCCTTTTCATTTAAAATTCTCCATAGGGCCAAGAAAACAAACCAAAATACCAGGAAATAATTTCTGCGCTGGATGAGGAGCTGGAGAACAAAATTGACTTTGAAGATTTCATGATCTTGTTAGTCAGTCTCACTCTAATGTCTGACCTGCTGCAGGAGATCAAAAATGTGAAAACCACAAAATGATCAGCGCTTTAAAAGGAGAAATGGGTTGGCACTTTAGAAGGAAAGCAGGAGGCGAGCCACACACAGAGATAACACCGAGTGCCTGGATGCCTTGTGCTGGTCCCTTTTAAATGGAATAAAATCTTGACCAAACTTGGCTGAACTCACTCCTCTGTAGAAATGGTCTGTGGAGTGAAATGTCAGTGCTCAGGGCTTGGTGTTCACTACATACCTGTTTTGGGAGGGTGTGCTGACTGTCTCGGGGTGGGTCCTGAGACCCCAACACCAGTTAGTCCATGGGTGCAGTCCCCAGCCCAGTTTAATGCCAGGGAACGGCAGCCCGTGCTCTCCCAGACCTTTCCATCATCTCCCACGCCACTGCAAAGAGAGAATGGGGAGACCACTGCAAAAATGTGCATCTCCCCTGGGGACAGCAGCATGCATGGCATGGCCAGTCAGCTCCCCGGGGTCTCCCAGTTACCCCAGTGTGCCACAGCCCTGAGCGGAGCGGTACCAGTGATGGGTTTCACAATTGGCAGCAACCACAAGATCTGTTGCAGCCTTCAGTAAACATTGACTTTAGGCTGCGTGGTTTCCAAGCCACCATTAACCCTTCTGAAAGGAGCATTTATTTATTTACTTTTATTTCCTCCTCCAGCTGACCTGTTCATCAAGTGATCTCTCTGGAAGGAATTTCGAGTCCTGCATTTGCGATGCATCTCTGGCAGAGCTGTGCTCGTGTGAGCAAAGGCCTGACTTAGTTAAATGTGTTTTTTTGTGGAACTGTGAAGAGGAGAAGCCAGATAAGCTAAGAGGTGGCCCAGACTAGGGGTGGCAGGGAAAAGAGGCGGCCAATAAAGTGTTTGTGTTGGAGCTAAATACTATCGTCTACCCAGCCATGGGCTTGGTTAGGACCAGAGCCTCAGTATGATTCTAATTATTCTAATCTTTGTTTAGATTCCTACCTATAAGGTCCTGGCTCAGAGACAATGTTTATCCCACTGTGACATCCCATGGGGGCACAAAAAGCAGTTTCGTGCCTCAGGAACAGAATGTCCTCTGCCAGAATTTAACAAGCCGCTACCAAGACAGTTAAGATGAGTGAGCCAGCAAAACATTGCAACCCTTCTCATTTTCCCCTCTTCCTTGTCTAGAAAGGAGAAGACAGGGATGATTTAGCTTTGGTGCATAATTTTTTAAACAGGAAGGGACCAAAACCTTTGGTCTTAAAAGAGGGAAATTAATGCCAGCTGAGTAACAAGATTTAGCTCCTCGACATAAAAAGGATCTTAGTGTTTCCAGAAGCTAAGAGGATGTTTTGTGACAGATTTTGGTGCAAAGACAAATTGCAGTAGGAGGCCAGCAGCCAGTTGTTTTGAGAGGGAAGGGCTGTGTCTTTGTGCTGCATGGGTTGGAGCTGAAAGAAGAAATGCAAATGGATGCGGTGGGTTTTGAAAAGAAGCTCAGCAGGTAAGGTGCTGCTCCGTGGGGTTTGAACCTCAGCCAGGACTTAATGTGGCAGCCTCGTCCATGAGGGTGTTACAGCTTCATATTGATAATGTATCCCTGGTGTTGCTCAGTCTCTTCCCCCACCCCCTTGGTTTTTGGCTGGCCAGGGAAGATCTGTGAAAGCTTAAAAAATCAGCTGATGCTCATTTTCTGGGGTAGAAAGATGGATTGAATGTGAGAGTCTCTAGAAGGCTTTCCCATTATTAAAGTAAAGAAAAACATGGCACAGCCCTGAAAAGCTTGTTTGGGAGCCACTGGTGACTCTGAAAACATAAATTTCCTAATATCCCTCTGTTACAACACAAAGCTGAAAGGAACAATATTGTGAAGCCAATTAAGAAAGCGTTCTTTGAAATCACAAAGGCCCTAACACAGTTTCTGTTATTGCTGAAATGTTTCTTAATTTTGCATGACTTGAATTAATGACTTAAGAGCCTTTTATCAGATCAATTCACTTTGTCATCTCATCGTATGCAAACCCTTTTTATTCTAATGCAGTGCGTTGCGAGCCAGCATGCCGAGTCCCTGGCTTCGATCAAAAGCTTGTGCTAAGCACAGTAAAAATCCACAGTAAGAAGCAATTGCTGAACAACTCAATAGCAAAGTTATTCAAATGGTAGGGAAGGAATCAGAGGCACAGAAAAACCAAGAGCTGGAACTGGATGCCAGTCCACACTGGGCTGCTCGCACAGAAGACCATGACTTTCTAAGAGGAACCACACTGGTTTCTGCAGGAATTTCTGAACAAAGTGAATGGGGTGTCTGAGGCTGGATCTGCATCAGCCCTTGAAAGTCCCGCCTGATGCTCAAAAGCAGAAGGACGCACTTGGAAGAGCCCCAGCATCTTCTTATAGTCAGGAGTAGGCAGAAGTTTGCAGCTTGGCTGTGGAAGATGCTCTTTTATTAGCTCAGACTATTTGTGGCTGCCCTGAGCACTCTCAGCTAACGGCTTTGAAGCTGATCTGGCGTAGACAGCATGTCTGGCTGCATCCTTGGGGAGCTGGCTAAAAGCTTGCTTAAAAGGCTACTGTTGTGCTTTATTTTGTTCCTAGCTTGCTCCTATTGGAAGCGATGGGAGTTCATCATCGATTTCTCGTAGCAGAGCCCACGCAAGTGCTAAGGAGTTGAACAGGCAGCAAAATTGATGAAATCTGTGGGCTCCTCTGCCTCAGCAAGTGTGAACATCATATCAATATCTGATACCCCCTAGAAGTGATGGCAGCATGAAGAGCAGCTAGTCAAAACCTGACCTTTGTGGGCGTGGGTTTGGGTTGGGATTCGGGCTGTTACACTGTCCAGGTGTGAACAGCCACCCTGGGAGGCTCTGTGAACTTTGGATCTAAGTTTAAAGTTCTGTTCTGAAAAGTCTGAGTCATCTCTGTAGTTATGTGAGCTTTCAAATGACTGCCAGAGGAGAAATGAGGGTCAGGGAGAGCTTCAGCCTTAGATCTCCAGCTTCCACTTCCAAAAATCAGCTCAGGAAGGCAGGTTTGTTCTCATACTTTAATAAACACATCTACAGCTTCTCCTCATGACTTCCTGCTTCATATCTGGCCTTAAGTCTGTGGCCTGCTGGACTTGGAAGGTTTTGAAAATCTGTCTTTAGTCTAATCTCTAAGGTGCTCTCTCCAATCATAGGGGAGCTCTCACATCCAGCCCGCTGACCTTCAGGGGATGAGTCACGGCAGAGTTTTGCACATCAAGCTTTCTGTCAGGAGACTGGGGCCACACGTGCTGTGCATGCAATTTTGCATAAATCTTTCAGGAAAGAGAAATACGTTCCCTAACTGTCTTGCTGTTACAGCACCTTCAGTAAGCCCTCTGGTCCGGGGCACCAGCGCCTGGATGCTGAGGAAACCTTGCAGCCTGGGAGATATTTTACCTGTCTTCTCCTCCCTCGAAGTCAGTGTTGTGTTACTTTTTCATGTAAAATAAAGCTTGCTTTGGTTGCACACACTTTGCAAGTATGTGTGTGAGGCACATTCCCCACCTCGGTACTTCCTGGGGAGGCACCCTTTATCAGGGAGTGTAGTGATAGGCTGAGGGGTAAAGGTTTTAAACTGAAAGAGGGGAGATTTAGATTAGATACTAGAAAAAAATTCTTTACTGTGAGGGTAGTGAGGCACTGGAACAGGTTACCCAGAGAAGCTGTGGCTGCCCCATCCCTGGAGGTGTTCAAGGCCAGATTGGATGGGGCTTTGAGCAACCTGCTCAGGTGGGAGGTGTCCCTGCCCAGGGCAGGGGGGTTGGAACTTGATGATCTTTAAGGTCCCTTCCAACTCTAACCATTCTATGATTCTCTGATTCCATGTGTCATGGCCCATGAAAGCTTCTCAGCAGCTGCTTGCTACATCAACTCAAGTGGTCATTGCAACAGGTCACCTTGCAGAGAGAGGTAGAGGTTTGCATCATAGCCTACCAAGGTAGCAGTTAAATTGTGGCCACATGGTAGGAAAACCTTCATCAGGAGTGTTGGAATGACTCATAAGGATGTTGCGTGGTACATCCCCTTAGGAGCTCACTACAGAGCAGATGAAAAGCTTTGTCCCAGAATTATGTTCTCTCCAAAGTGTGATAGTTTGTGAGCCACAAAGGAGCACTCTGAAACGCCTCCTGGAAAAAAGAGAATGTCTTTGTTTCAAGCTCAGTCAGGGAAGCTAGATAAAGAAGAGATGGTGCTTTTATGGCTTTTTGAACTGACAGCTTTTAATTCCTGCATTGACTTTTACTGCAGTCAGTAGTTTACAAGGCTTCCAGTGAAGCTGTGTCTTCTTTCCTTGCTTTGTTCATCTGCTGTTCCCTCATCCTGCAAGTGTTTATAGCCCTAGTTCTGAGTCCTCCTCCAGCAAAGGTAAACAGCAAATGATGTTCACCAGCCAGATATATCAGGCTGTCTCTCTAATCCCCAACTGCACAGAACAGCCATCAGACATAGATAGATTCAGCGCCACGGGACTTATCTTTTATTCATTGTTATTGTAGGAGTGAGTTTTTGCTATGTGTAGCCATAACGAGAGTCAGTCCCACCATCCAACACATAAAGAGGAGGTGAAGTTGTGATACCCCAACCTGAACATAAAGAAATTAATGAGATCGACCCAAGCCCAGCACCGGGTGTCTGTAGCAGAGGCTGGTTGTGCGTATCTGGTGTAGTGCCTGCCTTGGTCACCATTCCTCCCATTCAAAGGCCCCCAAAAGGCCAACTTGGAAAGGATCTCTTATGCAGAGAATCACAGGTACTTGGTTTCTCCTGGCCAAACACAAATTGGGTTTTACAGTGAATGAGCGTGCAATGGCTCGCCAAAGAGCTCTAGAGTCTCAAACAGGACCTGGAGTAATTAGGGACCCACACAATCTGAGCTGTACCCCAAGTGATGGCTCCTCACGGGATGGCAGCACAAGCTGCAGCCCTTTGCAGGGATGGGTGGCACCTTCACATTTCTGACACCCACAGCGCAACCCCTGGAGCCAAGGGACCAACTTGCACTTGTGATTTCTTCTTCATTTTATTC